TCAAACTAAGAAAAGTCGGAACTCATAAGTTTTATCATAAATATTCCTATACATAATAATTTCAGATCTTTTCCTGGCATTAGCTCAACTCAACATATGAGCTATTCGATGGGACTGGCAAACTTTTAGAGTATTTCTTGACGGCCGCTGGTCGAAATCCATATTTTATGTAATTGGTGCGGAACTTTTACGCTCTTGGCGTGTGCTGCAATTCGGAGTCCATAAATCATATTCAAATATATGGCCCGAAAGTGAGGAGCCAAACACAAACACCGGCGTCATTTTTATTTGCGTACGTGTCCTTTGTGTGCGGCGCCTGGGCGAGAGCAGGGAACAGCCAACTACTCGCATTGCATATCGCATCATGCAAATCTTAAATAAATCTTTAATTTCTGTTTCACGGAAATCACGCCCTGCCGGCCAGCAATTTAAGCTCGTACTTGGACTATCTTGAGCGTGGCAAATGGCAAACGGCACGCGGTGAAAGGCGAATGGCGAATGCCGAATGCTTCATGCTAATTTTCAAATGTGAAACGCCAAATGCCGACTCCTGCTGCCAAATGTAGCTGCTGATTGTGATCTATGTGGGCGGCTCGCGCGAGCATCTCGCACTCTTGCTGCTGGCATATTTGCGTTTTCATTGCCGTGCGCTCTGAAGCATGATTTGATTTTCATTTCGCCCGCTCCACATATTTATGGCATAATTCAGCAATTAGCTGCGATTGTGAGGTGCGCATTGGTCAAGCGCCCCGCTCGCCGAATCAAAAATCGCAGCCTCGCACTCGCCTCAAAATCTGTGCTCATCGTTCCAGCAACAAAAATAGATAAAAAGGAACTGGGAAAAACGTTGCTCGCAACGGCAATTCGCTGTTATTTGTTTACTATTTCTGCTGCTGTTGTTGCGCGTCGTTTGGAATTTTAAATATGGCGTCTGTTTTGTTTGAAAACGGAAACGAGTGTCTGTCAGCTTATTTGTTTGTTTGTCTGCTCGCCATTGCATGTTGCCATGTTGTTGCTGTTGTTGCTGTTGTTGTCAGCAACGTCGACGACCCGAAATGAACTCAAGCAACTTTTATGCCGCTCCCTTGGCAAAGGAAACGCCGTCTAATGTGTTATTTTGTGCATCCGTCTGTTGTGAGTTTTTCCATGTTTGTGTTCTTGTGATTGTCATGGCCAGTGGCGTCGTCGTCGTTGACCGGGCAGCAGAGGATTTCACCAGTTCCCGAGGAATAGTTTCTATAGTTCAGCATGAATAAAAAAATAAATAATTTTAATATTAACCTCAAATTTTATGAAATTGCTCATTTCGAACTATATTTTATTTTGCCAAAAATAGAAAATTAATAATGTCTAAATCATATTTACCAACCGTAAATACCGCCGAATTTTGCGTTTTATGAATTTTGCAGGGTTTTGTTCAGCGCTCTCTCACCCCGGGCAATTATTTGTATTTAACGCACGTCCCTGTCTCATTTTCAGCGCCAAACTGTTTAAATAATCAACTCACATAGACCATGACATAACGGCACAGTGCGCTTCTATGCGTTCGCCCTTTGCACTAATAAACTTTACTTTGCATTTTTAATAGCCTACTTTTCGGCGCATTAATTTTAATGTTACTATTTTGGCCAGCAGCCGATAGATAGAGAGAGAGAGAGAAAGAGAGAGAGGGATTGAAGAAGACAGTACAAAAGAGTTGGGCTGTTGCGGAGCACCTTTGTTACCAGATTTAATCATTTGCAATTTGACTTAATTGCTGGCACTCAATTTGTGACTCGCGTAATGGAGAGGATGGAGGCCTTGAGCTGGGCAAATGGATGTGCAGGGCCGTTGGCAAAACAAAACTCGCTTATCGCCAATTTCCAATAGTTTTTGCATGACCTTCGATACTCACGCACACACACACAC